CTCACTTCCTGTTGGATTTAAGTCAGGGGTGTCAGCGCGTGATTTTTAGGTCTTCATGAGACGAACACGCCACTTTTGGTTTCATGTTACTACGACGTTCCTACAGGCCGTGGCGGCCATTTTTGTGTGCCTAGGTGGCGCTAGAGAGCCCATTTTGGCACTTTAGGGGTTAATGTCATGATTTTCTAAAATTTTTCAACAGTTCTGATGAGCGTGCCAATTTTGGTGAGTTTTTGAGAATGTTAAGGGGGTCAAATTCCAGTTCAAAGAGGCGGCGGGAGAAAGAATAAAGAATAATAATAATAAACAGAGCAAAAACAATAGGGTCCTCGCCTTTGGCGAGGACTGCTCTGTGAGCAGTCCTCTGCCTTAGGGCTCGGTCCCTAAATAATAATAAACGCAGCAAAAACAATAGTGTCCTCGCCTTCGGCGAGGACTGGTCTGTAGGAATAAACGCAGCAAAAACTATAGGGAGGGTCCTCGCCTTCGGAGAGGACTGCTTTGTGAGTAGTCCACTGCTGTTGGGCCCGGTCACTAATGAACGCACGCAGCAAAAACAAGAGGGTCCTCGCCTTTGGCGAGGACTGCTCTGTGAGCAGTCCTCTGCCTTAGGGCTCGGTCCCTAATAAAGAATAAACGGAGCAAAAACAATAGGGTCCTGCTCTGTGAGCAGTCCTCTGCCTGTAGGCTCTGTCCCTAATAATAATAATAATAATAAACGGAGCAAAAACAATAGGGTCCTCTGCCTTCGGGCTCGGTCCCTAATAAACGCACCAAAAACAATAGGGTCCTCGCCTTTGGCGAGGACTGCTCTGTGAGCAGTCCTCTGCCGTAGGCTCGGTCCCTAATAATAATAATAATAATAAACGGAGCAAAAACAATAGGGTCCTCTGCCTTCGGGCTCGGTCCCTAATAATAATAATAATAAACGCTACAAGAACAATAGGGTCCTCGCCTTTCAGCCGAGGTCCCTAATAAAGAATAAACGGAGCCTTCGGCGAGGACTGCTCTGTGAGCAGTCCTCTGCCTTAGGGCTCGGTCCCTAATAATATAGCCTAATAAGTATATTTGATAGACAAAAAATTATGGTCTCTGACATCACCCCAAATCACCCCACTGACCAGTCATTAACTGATCCAGACAATACACAGACCACAAGGAACACAGGACACATCACTGAGGAGCTGGTCGCGACCAGCGTTCACTGGGCCGTGCCAGGGAGCAGCTGGTCCCGTCCACTGAAGAGCTGGTCGCGACCAGTATCTTTAGCGCCCCTCGTGGTGGTCACCACTGGTCCTTGCCAGACCACTGAATTGGCTACAACCCCTACTGGTCCAAAGTGTGCTTTTTTCCTACCTGTGATTACACCGTGGCTGCAGTAAAATCCAACATATTCATTCATTCATTTTCCGTAAATGCTTATCCTCTTGGGGTACGTAGGGGGGCTGGAGCTTATCCCAGCTGACACTGGGTGAGAGGCAGGATACACCCTGGACAGGTTGTCAGACTATCGCAGGGCTGACATATAGAGACAGACAACCATTCACACTCACATTCACACATACGGACAATTTAGAGCCACCAATTAACCTAACCTGCTTGTCTTTGGACAGTGGTACCCGGAGAGAACCCATGCTGACACGGGGAGAACATGCAGACTCTGCACAGAAGGGCTACCCCCACCCTGGGGGGGTTGAAGTTTATTTTCCACAAATTTTCCATATTTGATGGTCTAAATTCACACTAGAGAATACTACTGCCCCAATACTAATTTCCAGTGTTTAGGTGCATGTATTAATGTCAGTTTGGGAGAGATTGTTGCTGAGATGAATATAAATGAAGTTATACGCAAAACCATCAGCATAAGATCTTCATGTGTTATGGTACACATTTATTTACATTTATGGATCGTGACAAAAAAAATAGCAAGATTATTTTGCAGAAAACTTTTAACACAAAGTTAAAGGGGAAGTTACGTTTTTTACAACCTGGACCTTATTTCTGGTATTAAATACGGTTGTTTACTCACCCAGATAAGTTTGGTGTCATTTGGAGTCATTCGGAAGATATTTAGATCCACGAGAGCCGCGTACATCCATACAGTGGGAATGATCGGGGCACCGACAACGAGAATCTAAATAACACATTATCTGCCACGAAACTCGTTCATTTCACCAATATGTTTTTATGAATCGCTAGAGTTGCTTGTCATCATAATCCGGGTCATTTATACTGACCTACTAACCTCTGACCTGGATGATGTCAGAGGCAATTCGTAAAGACAATCCTCTTTACCACCGAAACGTTCACCTTTCTGTTTCTCACTTTTTGTCACTGAGCACTATGTAATAATCAATTCATGTTTTGCATAAGAAGTGCCTCTGCTTTTTGTGTAGTGTGCGGGCCATTCTACACAAGCAATGAGAAGAAACTAAAGAAATGTAAATTCTCACAAATTCAAGGAAAATAAACAATTTATGCATGTGTGTAGGCTAACGTTACTTACTCAATCGAAAGTTGCCCGTTCGGTCCTACAGGCTTTGGCTGGGTCTTCCAGTTTACTTTTGGGACACGAAAAAAAGTCTCTACAACAGTCCGGTTGATCATAGAAGTGAAATCCTCTGTAGCTGTGAGACAGTCATTTCTGGAGACATCCAGACGTGTATCTTCTGGCCTCAAATCCCACTCGGAGTGACAAAGGCATTCCTCCTCTGCTGGCATAGTGGAACATTGTCCACAAAAATACACACACCACCAGTTAGCATCAGTTAGCTCGGACGTGCAGCGGTTTGTTGTTCTCTGGCCAGCTGTTCCTCTCTCTGCCTCCGCATCCTCCTTTCAAAGAGCTCCTCATCCGTATACTCTGGCTCAAAACGGTAAGGACATCCATCATATTCAAAGTCGTCGTCCACAACCTCAAAATCTGACAGATATTCAGCCATGTTTCAAAAAACAGTAGCAAATTCCAGTCATAAACATAGCCGTGCTGCGGACGTGCGGCGGCGCGATGACATCATCCAGGTCAGAGGTTAGTAGGTCAGTATAAATGACCCGGATGATGATGATGACAAGCAACTCTTGCGATTCATAAAAACATATTGGTGAAATGAACGAGTTTCGCGGCAGATAATGTGTTATTTAGAGCCTCATTGTCGGTGCCCCGATCATTCCCACTATATGGATGTACGTGGCTCTCACGGATCTAAATATCTTCCGAATGACTCCAAATGACACCAAACTTATCTGGGTGAGTAAAGAACCATATTTAATGCCAGAAATAAGGTCCAGGTTGTAAAAAATGGAACTTCCCCTTTAATAAGCATGTTGTCAATGCAAAAAACATATTTAAAAAGTAGTGCCCAGGTTGTGGAATTCAAATCATTTTCTAGACACTTTTTCTTATTTCGCCTTACGGCCTACTAGGCTACTAAAATGACAGAAATCATCTTTGGCTAAAATTACAATTTTTTAGTTAGGCCTGTGTCCCATCTGTTAACATTGAGGGGCAGCGTTTATGACCAGCACAGCAGCCACCAGGGGATAAACAAGATGTTTTGGCTTAACTTTTGGGAAGCTATCATGCCGTTCATCTTTATATACAGTCATTGACTCAGATCTTGACCTGCCTAAATGAAGACTGATGAATGTATGTTTTTGAAATAATTTTACTGTTTGTCTGTGTGTGTGTGTGTGTGTGTGTGTGTGCGTGTGTGTGTGTCAGTGGTGCAGGGCAGGGGAGTGTGTCAGTAAGACTCCCATCCCTGAGCATGTGGACGGTGACTGGAGTCCATGGAGCCAGTGGAGCATGTGCAGTAGGACCTGCGGTACTGGAGTCCAGTTCAGACAGAGGAAATGTGACAACCCTCCGTATGTCACCTGTCTATCTGTGTTTGTGTGTTCAAATTTCTCACATTGTGATAAAAAATGCTTTCCCTGGATACATTTATATATAACTTTCAGAAAATACTTGTTATTAAAGACACCGGTGGACCTTAAGTGAACTGCAGTCAGCATCCTGTTGCTTGTGCTCACACTCTGTTGGTGTGAGAGGGCACCAGTATTGGCCAAAACAGTTATGTGACATACAGGAGACAGAACGTGATTGGCCAGCATTATGTTGAGTAATAAGCTGTAAAATGAAATCAATCAATAAATTAATCAGTCAATCAATTTATTTGTCATATGAAATCATAAAATTTAAGGTCAGTGCAAATGTCAGTTGCATCAATTTGTGCTTTCAAAACAGTGTAATAATAAATATACATCTATTGGCATGGGAGTGGGGGGTGGGGCTATCTCAGGCAGGCTCTTCATTTAGAATCCTTGTGACCTGAGGGTAGAAGCTTTTCCTAAGCCTCTCAGTGTGGGCCTTGTGTAAGCACCTTCTTCGAAACCTCAGCAGTGAGTGCGTTTACGTGGACAGTTTAATCCCCTTTTCATTCGGAATGAAAGTTCATTCCCATTAAAAGCAATCTTGTAAACATCTAATTCGGAGTGAAAATGGCTAATACAATTGAAAATTCATTCCGATGTAAGGAGTTGGAATATTCCGTTTCTAATTCCGAATGAAAGAATTTCTTGCACTTGTATACACTCATTCCTCTTTAAGTTCATTCCGGCAAGGCACTAAGAATGGTGTCGTCAAGCATCTTGTTATCCGGAATGAGGACTACAGTGTTTTCTTCCGGAAACATAAACACATAACATCCGCCCCGCCCCCTATCCAATCAATAACTACCCTGCCCCAAACCTTGCACAGACCCAATAAAGGCAATTAAAAGGTGATTAAAATGATCTCCCATGTAAACCCTCATTCGGAATGAATATTTCCCATGTAAACTACCTGGAAAAACTTTAATTCCAAATGATTTCATTCAGATTTATTTCATTCCGAATGAGAAGTATCATGTAACCGCACCCCGTGTTATGTGACAAGGCAAGTGAACCCAAAAGCAGACAAAACACAGACTTGGAGCAGGATCTAATAGGGGATTTATTGATAATAAAATGAGTGGAGGAGTGCTGGGAGGCAAAGTCCGAGGTAGGCAAGAGAAGCAGGGGAGCTGTGCTGGGGAAGCTGGCCAAGAGGTTTCCTGAGCCGGGGAGGTGAAGAGGGGCAGATGGGGTCCAGGTAGTTTCTAGTTTCGAAGGAGTGTCCGTGCAGGGGGAGAGCTGGTGTGATGGCAGTTGGTTATCGCATGCGGAGGAGTGGAGCAGTAGGCTGGAGTCAGACCAGGATTATGCTGCAGGCACAGGGAAACAGGTATTAGTAAGCGTATCAAAACAAAGTGGCTGGAACGTGACTGACTAATAGCAGAGTCTATGATCTGGCAGCATGCTGAAGTGGGACCCTGGTATATGAAGCGAAGTTGATTGATGATGTTAACAGCAGCTGCGGCAACTCCTGCGCACCTGACACTAATCTATACTTAGAATGAGAGAGGGAGAGAGAGAGAGAGAGGGGAGGAGGGAAGCTCCAGGCTAGGAGGGAGAGGAGGCTGCAGCCCTACGGGCAACACCTGGCATCTTAGGCAATCGGGATGTTGCCAATGAAGTCCTGGATGAGAGAGGGGTCCAGGGGCTGGCGGCGTGGGATCCAGCAGCGTTCTTCCAGGCCATAGCCCTCCCAATCCACCAGGTACTTTAAGCCACGGCCCGCCGACGCACAGCCAGTATCCGCCAGACTGTGAAAACAGGAGGAGGAGGGGGAGGTGTGGGAGGGCACAGAGGGTTAGAGGAGACTGGCTTGATTTGGGAAACATGAAAGGTGGGGTGGATACAAAGTAGGGCAGGGAGCTTGAGACGAACAGCACAGGGGTTAATGATGGACTCAATCTCAAAAGGACACAACGAGGTGACAGTTTCCTGTTCCAGTGGAATCCCTAGAACTGAGTCATACCTTCTGGCCAGGGGCATAGCTGGGAGCTGGGAAGCTGCCGCGGTTAGCTTGCTCTTGGCTTCTGGTAAAGGAGCGGCGCAAAGCAGTCCTGGCTTGTTTCCATGTCTTGAAACAGCGGACACTCCAGGAGGATGGATTGGATGAGGTGACACAGCAGAGCACAGCCTCCATCTCCTGATTGGCTCTCTCAGTTTGAGTCTGAGGATGGTATCCAGAGGAAAGGCTGGTTGTGGGACAGAATCAGGAACAAAGGATTGGGGGGGGCCGTTACCTGGGTCAACCTGTTGTTCTTGAGCCCGTTTCATCAGCGATTCAATTTCCCAGGTGACTGCAGCGAGAACACAGGTGGGAGGCAGGAAGGGTTCTGGACCAGAACTTGTCCCTTCAGTGGTGAACTGGCATGACAGGGCATCAGGCTTTATGTTGCAGGAGGCTGGGCGGTCAAAGTGAAGTTAAATCTGCCAAAGAACAGGGCCCACCTGGCTTGTCTGGGGTTCAGCCGCTTAGCAGATTGGATGTAGGCAAGGTTCTTGTGGTCTGTCCACACCACAAAGGACTGATCTGCTCCTTCCATCCAGTGACGCCACTCCAGTTTCACTGCGAGGAGTTCACGGTTGCTAACATCATAATTTCTCTCTGCAGAGAGTCTGCGGGAGAAAAAAGCACAGGGGTGGAGTTTTTTGTCAGAAGAGGCACACTGAGAGAGGACTGCAGCTACCCCAGTATCCGAAGCATCCACCTCCACAATGAACAGTCAGGCTGGGTCTGATTATGTGAGGATTGGAGCAGAGGAAAAGTGGCGCTTGAGGTCTATGAAGGCTGCATCAGCCTCAGCGGACCAACGGAATGGGCCAGATGTGGAGATGAGGGCTGTGAGGGGGCAGCAATGCAGCTGTATTTCTTGATGAATTGCCAGTAACAGTTTGCAAAGCCCACAAAGCGCTGCAGCTTTTTGTGGTTGGAGGGGGTTGGCCACACAGTTACAGCTGAAACCTTGGCAGGATCCATCTGCACCTCTCCCTTTGCAATAATATAGCCCAGAAAAGACACTTTAGGAACATGAAATTCGCTCTTCTCAGCCTTCACAAACAACTTATTCTCCAAAAGATGCTGAAGGACCAAATGCACGTGCTGCTCATGACCAGAGGGGGTCTTGGAAAAGATAAGGATGTCATCCAGGTATACAAACACAAACTTGTTGAGCATGTCACGGAGGACGTCATTCACAAGGGCCTGGAAAACTGCAGGGGCATTTGTTAGGCCAAAGAGCATCACCAAATATTCAAAGTGGCCCAGAGGAGTATTGGATGCCATTTTCCAACCATCTCCCTCATGAATGCGGACCAGGTGGTAGCATTGCGTAGGTCTAACTTTGTGAATAGAGTGGCACCATGGATGGGAATAAATGCTGAACTGATGAGAGGTAAGGGGTACTTGTTTTAACAGTTATGTTATTTAAGCCACGGAAATCAGTGCAGGGTCTTAATGTACCATCCTTCTTCCCAACAAAAAAGAAACCAGCACCCACCAGACAGGAGGAAGGATGGATTATTCCCGCTGCGAGGGACTCCTGGATGTACTTTTCCATGGCCTCATGCTCTGGTCGAGAGAGGTTGTATAGCCGACTGGAGTTGGAGTTAAGACGACGAGCCCTCTCCTCTGGTGTCAGATGGGCTCTACCAATCTGCATAGCCTCAGGCTCGGGATTACTTGATGGGGCTCAGGAATGTTCAGGTCTTGGAGGTGAGCGCTGACAGTGGGATGGCCAGGTGGTGGAAGTCAGCTGTTTTGCTGCCCTCTCCTGCTGGCGCTCACGGAACCGGTTGTCAATTTTAATGGCCAAGGAAATGAGCTGGTCTTAAGAATTGGGCTCATCACAAGAAAGAAGTTCATCGTGTATTACCTCATTTAATTCTGTTAAATTCTGGAAAGTCCCCTGCAGTGCCTCGTCATTCCATCCACCCACTGCAGCCAGAGTCCCTGCCGTAGGGGGAGAAGACGTCTCGCTGCATCCTTGCCCGAACAGGGTGATCAAAAACCTTCAGCATCTCCAAGAGGAAGTCATCGTAGGAGTAACAAAGGGCAGACTGATTCTCCCACACAGCGGAGCCCCAGGCACAAGCTGGTCCACACAATGGGTCGATTACATAGGTGATGCCTGTGGATATTCTCATTCATCCAGGTCATAGTTATCTCAAGGCAATTGAATCGAACGCAACTGGACTTGGTTTTGTCTTAGAAGACGTTTCACCTCTTATCCAAGAGGCTTCATCAGTTCATGCTTGTCTGACTAGGCTGGAACTAGTCTGACAAACTGGTGTGGAAGCACCCAGGTATTTAACCTCTGGGGAGGTCTTCACAAGGCCAATGATGTCACTGGTTCGTTAGTACTCCAATGGTGTGTCAACAACAATCGTTGAAACTCCTGCTGCAACACTGCAATTGGAGTCATTAGAGTCACATGAGGCCATTTGTGAACGACCATTGTTTTTAGAGGTTAAGTTGTTAAACCTCCTGGGCAAGGATGAAAGGACAGCATTATAGGTGGGGGATAGGTGGTGTCGCAGATCTCCTCCTCTATTGAGAGATGGCTTTTCCAATTTCATATAGATGGCTTCTTTTACACCTCTTTCAAACCATCGGTCTTCCCTGTCCAAAATGTGCACATTGCAGTCTTCGAAGGAGTGTACTTTCTCCTTGAGGTGTAGATAGACAGCTGATTCCAATTGCAGCGTTGCAGCAGGAGTTTCAACGACTGTCGTTGACACATCATTGGAGCACTAACGAACCAGTGACATCATTGGCCTTGTGAAGACCTCCCCAGAGGTTAAATACCTGGGTGCTTCCACACCAGTTTGTCAGACTAGTTCCAACCTAGTCAGACAAGCATGAACTGATGAAGCCTCTTGGATAAGAGGTGAAACGTCTTCTAAGACAAAACCAAGTCCAGTTGCGTTCGATTCAATTG